CAGGTTCACAATACGACTGAAATCGAAAACAAAATTTTATTCGTGAATCAACAAACATAATACTTACATATCTTAAATATGATTTTTACAAAATTTTACACAATCATTTTATTTTTATTATATACATATATAACTGTAAAGTCAACTATATAACATTTAATTTTGTTATTTATAAGTTTTACAAAATAATTAATAACCATCGTCTATCAGCATGATAATATGACGTTTATTTTTGTTATTAGGTGAAATTAATGACGTAAATTACATTTTATATTTTATTATTTTAATTAGCTTTCTGGAGTTTCTATTGTTAGACGTAGATGACAAAATTATATTATGTTTACATATTAGTATATTATATACTATTTTTAAACTTTTGATTTATTTAGAAAACAGTTATTTTTAAATTAATCATATACAATTGATAATATTGATATATTTGGCAGTAATATATTCTACCCACTTATTTTTTCAATTTTTGTCCTTAAAATTATTTTAATCGATATTCGATTATTTTATAATCATTACTAGCTTTACTGCCGTACAGCATAGTTGTTCCTTAATATATTATATTGATTTTCCTATTCTATTTAAACTATTTTTAGTTAATCTGTTAAATTTTTTTTATTTTAATTGTATTATTGTATTCTAACCTAACCTAACCTACAATTAAAGGCGGTAAGTAATTAATAAGATTGTTTAAGTATTTTTTTTATTTAATAATTACTTTCATTTTTCAATAATTAATTGCAGCCTGCAGTTGTGTCTACAAAGGGCCCAACTTGATTTTAAAGTATMATTTTCATATTAAGCATTGTATTGTCTTTTTGTGTGGTAAGTATTTCTATTAATTAAAAATAAATATTTATTGTAGTAACTATAGTATTAAATTTCCAACCTATTTACAAGAATTATTATTATATTATTATTATTATTATTATTATTATTATCATCAAGAAGAAACTTTGAGAGTGTTTTTTAGTAGGAACCCACATTGTAGAAACATATTGAATAAATATCAATGAGATATTTTTAATTTTATGTTAATATCCACAGAATAGCCTTATAAACTTCCTTACAAAACTTAATATATCCACCAGATATTATATAAATGTCTTATGAACCAACTTTATTTATCTGATAAATATCAGAATAAGAATATTTTATTTATATCCACATAAATATATTGAAAAGATGTAGTATTGATATACTATGAATATTATTTTAATATTAAACTAATAACCAAATACAGTTATTTAATTTATAAAAACACTTATATATTGATCAGATATAAATTGATATATTTTTATATTCAACTTATACCCAAATATAAATATCTTATGTATATCAACACATATATATCCATCAGATATATTTTTAATATCTTTTTATATTCATTTTATATCCAAATACTAATGTCTAACGTATATAATAATACGTATACAAAAATCTTTTGTTGGGCTTGGGTAGTTTATAAGGTCGAAGATAAAAACTTCTCGGTACTTTTAAAAATAATCGTGAAAAATTCGGTCTGTATGGATGATTCTGAGGGAAAATGGTCTGTCAGCCTAGATATATTTTACTTTAATAATAGGTATGTATGTTTACCTAAATATTAGTAATTCATTTTTTTATAATTTATGCTATTTATAGGTGTTTAAATTTAGATACTAATCATTTTTGCCAAAAACATAATAATATAACAAATTCAATATTATTATTAATTTATTTTTAATGTATGACTTTATTTTAGAATATTATAATGTATACAAGTGTATAATAAGAGCGCTTTCAGACGAGACTCTCTGTAGCCGAGTACTTGTGTCTGAAAAGAATCGCGCGACTAAGATAACATTGCTATAAATATACGAGTACACACGATACACAGACACGGAGTGTGTGTCGCGCCACCCAATCGGCGTGTCTTGTCCCCGTCAGCCGCCAGACACTGATTCTTTAGTGGCCGACCACAAAGTTTCTCGTCTGAATGCGCTCTAAGTAATA